GCGGTCGTTAGTGATCACGGAGATATCAATCTTTGGTTTATGCCAGTCTGAGATTCCCCCCAAAAACGCATGATCGCAGTGGTGATGAACCGAGATTGCAAAAATGCAGACCCAAAACCCAACGCACGTCACAAAACGATCATAGACGTTAGACAAAATGAAAAGAGAAATCAGTCATGTCAGTCGGAGAGTACTTTAAAGTTTTCACTACTTATCTCAGTCCATGTGTCTCTGGTTTATGTGTTGAGTTGAGTCTTAAAACTTGCCTGTCTCCCATTCCAATGCATAGTGTTTTTTAAAAAACCAGAATCAGCCATTCACGCAAAGATCACGTTCAGACATTGAGTTTTAGGTTTGAGGTTTGTACAAAGTAATTTCAGTCATTGATCGAGTATAGAGTAACAGGTCAATCAGAATAAGAAAGGTGAAGGATAGCTTTTGTGAGTCATCGGAGAAACCAGCAGCAGAAAATAAAATAAAAAAAATGTAATCAAACCAATCAAACAAAAAAACTCAACTGCGCAAAGCTTGTAGCTCAAGACCTGTGATCCAATCCGCACTCTTCACCGATTCTCTCGGTAATCCAATTACAACCATCGGTCCATCACCTTCAGTCGACCAAGACTCAGCAAAGTCCAAAGATAGTTGACCGAAATCAGCTTTAAACCTTCTCTCCAGCACGTCTCGAACAATCGGATCCATCGAGTCCCGCGCAAAAAATATGACAGAGTATTGCCTGTTGGCGAAAAGCTTGATCCATTTTGACTCGGATCCCCTGCCTCTCGTTCCATCAGCTCCGCTCCCACTCAGGATTTCCACATCCACTATGCAGTTTGGAAAACTCATCCGCCGCTTCTCTTCTGATTCTACATTTAACCGTTCTACAATTACCAGTACATCAACAGTAAAACCCCTCTCCAAAAACCGACAGACAATTGGTCCCCACCCCCCTCCAGCGCCATCCAAAGCCGGCATGTCGTCTAACATGACACAAAGTTTTCTCTTTTCGTCTCTGCTGACCTCAGGCATCCGGTCATCATGCGAATTCTCGAAAAAGAGCGAGTCATCCAAATGTTGAACCAGCGCAGCCTCTAATGCCGGGCCTTCGATCGACTGCCTCATCTCCCCAAGTCCGCGCTCGCATCGTTTCCAGACCCCAGAAGCGTCGGGCGAAGGAAGGATGAAGGCTGGCATCTGACGAGCGAATAGCTCTAGCCCGAGTCGCAATGAAGGTAATCCTGAATGTGCTAGCCAGTCTTCCTCGGCCAGGTCGGCAAGTCTGGACCATGGCTTTGCCGAGAGCAGGATGGGGGCGAGAGCGAGCTCGGCACGGGAGATAATCTTGCTTCCAACCACGCACTCGAGCCGAGTGGGTAAGTGGTGATAGTGAGCGCGCGAGAGCCCGCTGGAGCTGATGAAGAACGGCAAAGGAGAACTGGGCTGAGGTAGAAAGAGGAGTGCGAGTGCGTTTGCGAGCCAGTTGATATCGAGCTCCTGAAGGACTTCCGCGGACTCAAGCATGAGCACCGCTTCGGCCTCTGGTGGTGGGTAGAATGCATTGAGATTGGAAAGTTGTTGAACTCGGGGAGGCGTTTGTGGACAAGAAGAGAAGGGTGTGCAGACGAGGGTGAGAGAATGGAGTTGGGAATGAGCGGTCTGGCGACGGAGGCCGTTTACGATCGACTCGAGCTGAATTGGCGCCGGGTGACCGGGGTGAGGCACGATGAGGAGGGCGAAGCGCGGCTTTTGAATGGCAGCCAGGCGCGTGAGTTCATCGACTTTGGCCGGAGTAGAGAATGGCCATCCACGAGTGCCTGAACCTGGGATAGATGAGGTAGAAGGAGCGCCTTAGCATCAAAGTCTATTCGAAGCCATCACCAGCCGAAAGTCGCTTTCAGCTTTCTCTGACACACTCACTGAACCAGACTGGAGAGGGCCTCCGAACGTCGGAAAGCGAAAGCCAAACGGCGACGGCCAAAGTCGTAGCCAGACCGGTGATGATAGCCGGGAACCTGAGAGAATCCCTGCGACGGGCACGCCGAAGCCAATCTCGAATGTCTTGATATCTGTGCGGACGGAGCCGTGCACGACGAGCGCTAGCGGCGGCAGAAGACCTTCGAGAGCCGCCATCGCTGGTGATACCTAGGCCGATGACCTGTCGAGTGGCGCCAGGTTCAATATGGGTCGGATCGACGGTGAAATGATAGGTCGGACCGACAGCAGCGCTGCTCGTGCTAGTAGTGCTTGAACGCCGCTCGCGGGTGCCGAGTGCTCTCATGTTCACCTCCGATAGGGATCCTGACGAGGTTGTGGGAGGTTCGAGGTGCAAGTGAATGGGCAATTGAGTCCGTGGGATAACTTGGAACTTGGGTGCTTCCGGGACGAGTAAGTAAATTTAAATAGCCCTAAAGGTGCACCCAATGGGAACAAAAAAAAAAAAAGGGAAAAAAAAAACAATGCTAGCTTCAGGACAACGTATTTTATAGATCCCAGGACAAAATTTGATAAGGCCACTTCCAACAACCTCAACAAATTGATGCACAGACCAATTGCTTGGGTGTAGTTAACACTATGAGATGATAAGGTGTGTGGCCTCAGCAAACTCTGTCCACCTCTCACTTCACCCTTCACAGTCTGCATTTTCTGCACATCAACCTGAAGTTGTCTATTTGAAGCGATCACCCTGAGCTCATTCTGATGCAACAAGTCAAATATTACTCAACAAACCTCACCCAAGGGGTTTCTCAAGCAAGAGTGGGATAAAAAGAGAGGGATACTGATTGAACCAGATTGATGTTCGGAATGCTTATCAGCACTGAAACATTTTGGAGCCTGAGTTGAGAAATGCAGATTATCTTTGTAAATACTCAAGAAGTAGTGGTTCTAGCCAATATTTGGATGCAAAGGGTTTCTTATCAATTTCACTAAGCTATTAGAAACACTAGTGGGTCTCAGACATTACCAAGCTGTCAAGAAAACCCGGTCAACCCACTTGACTTTTTGGCGGCAAACTTTGAAAATTCCACTGCAAACTTCCTGTTTTCCCTTGCGATCTGATTGTTTCATAGTATTTTCTGCTTTGTTTTCACAGGTTGATTAGAGCATCTCTAACTATTTTTTACAACTTTGTAGTATCACCTATACCTATAACAAAACCCTATCCAACAGGATAAGCTTGACAAGTTTATCCGAGGGTATTCTTCTTCTCTTCAACTCCATATTATCATCTCATTTTCAACTTTGGTTTTTTGTGTCTAGTCTTGTGGTGTTGATTTACACTCAAATTTCTGCATGGAATACATTATTCCCAAGAGTCCTTTACAGCAGTGTCGGCATAATTTGGCCCTGACAATGACTATTCAAGCAAGAATGTCTGCAAGTTGGTAGTTTATATCATTTTACAGGTATACAATATGAGAGGTTTTACCACATGTCATGGTGCTTAACCCACTTCAAAACAGTGAGTTCTTGCCTGAACTTGATGCTTCCTGCTTCTGGAAACCTGTTATATGAGTGTTTGCAACATGTAAAAGTCACAGAGAGGGCTTAAGTCACCTCCAACATATTTGTATCACATCCAGCCATGCTACTCAACATAGCATGACCAAATGTGATGCAAGGATGTTGGTGGCAGGTGAGTTGATTGGCCAATTTGGAAGGTCTGTTGGCTTTTCTGAGGACATCTGATGGTGCTTGGCCCACTCAAAATAGTGCTTTTCAAGCTGAAAATGATACTGCCTGCGTTAACCTGCCTGTTACATAGTGATTTTGATATGTAAGAGTCACACAGAGATACTATGCAGATTGATTGGCTAGTTTCGAAGTCCTTTTAGGTTTTCCAAGCCTGTTTCATGATGTTTGGCCCACTCAAATTGACCCTAGTCAAGGTGAACTGGGGTGTATATTGGACAGTCCTGAAATGACCGCATTTGTTTGCTTTACTTAGCTGTGGCACATCCAACCATCAAAAAAATAGCCCACATGTGTTGCATTTGGGACAGCATCAACATATTTTCATTTCATGAAGGCATGCCCAGCTAAACTGAAATAGGCCAATTTCCCAAGTTAGGGGCCCTCAAATTTGGTATATAACATCACATGTAGACATGCAAGGTCACATAGCACACCTCCATGCAATGCAAATATGCTGGAAGCGGAAATTCAAGGCAACATGGCATACCTATATGCAACACAACCCTGCTCAAAGTAAGTAAAAAGAGGATTATAACTGAAGTAGCAGTTAATACTGGGCTATCAGTGTTGGTAGATGAAGGTTGTGACCGTTGGTGACAGAGCAGGCATCCTGTTACACACAATCTGGATGGAATGTAAACTCCTGAATATGCAAAACACTTATCCCTCTCGGTCTGGGGAGAATGACTGCGTTCAATAACTCTGTAGCCACAAAGGAACACATCTTTTTGATCCTTGAAACAAGTGGGTAGGTTTACTGGAAAACTTGTGTTACAGCTTAGAAAGGGAGAATATGCCCACATGATTTGAATTTTTTTGGGCGCATATTCATTTCCAACACTGGAGGGGAGAGAGGGTACAAAATTCATTTTAAAATTTGGATGGATAAGAAATGTATAAAAAAAAAAAAAAAAGAAAAAAAAAAAAATTGAAATGTTAATTGAATCCTTTGAAAGTTTTCTTTTTTCAAGGACACCTCAGATATTCAA